TGAGAGATGACAAATATTGTTTTCTATTAGTGAATTCCTCAAAACATTCACGATTTTTCTTGTTCATAATTTAATCTTTTTTTTTTTTTTTTTTTTACCTCTACTGGATTTGTTTTGTTCGTTTTAATAAAGCCAATGACTGATTAATCCACATTTGTCTGGACGTTAGTGTCTTGAAAAACTCATGGTACACCTTGAACCTTTTCAGAATTTGTCACAAAACTTCTAACAAAAATCTAAATTCATATGTTGTCTGCCTCTTACCCCTGAAATAAAATAAATAAAATGTCCCTAATTTATTTTGGTTGAGGCATTGCTTTTTATAGAGAATTATTCCCTCTGGGATTGGATGCTGTGCAGCTGGAAGGATTTTTGCTCTTACCTTTTTAAGTCTAAACAGTTATGTGTAACCATGGTAACATGGTGGGTTTTCTATAACCAAGACCAAAGCTTTTGAGGAAGAAACTGGCTTTTGCAGGTAATCCATGTATAGCTGTTTGTGTGAATTGTTTTGAGAAATGCACTCACTGTTTTGCAAATGTCGATTCAAGAAATGCGCCAAAGCAACCGAGACAAACTGGATGATTAAGTTTTAGGAAGAGAAAGAGGGAAAAGTTTATGGTTTCCCTAATAATCAGGCTGGATGGACTTTCCACTGTCAAACTGATAAGTTATTTCCTAAAATATATCACCTTAACCAGTCTTATTTTCATTATTTTTAAACTGTATTTAATATTACAGTAAACATGGGACAGCCTTCTCGTGACAGAGGACAGAATAAAAGTCTAGGCCTTTTCTCCAGCTGACCGCCATCCTCATGTCCCTGAACCCAAACGCTTTCACCACAACAATGTTTTGTGGCCCCACTGTGGGACTTTGCCTGGGGCTTCCCACCGGCCCTCGGTGTATTTTGAACGAGCGCGACCTCCCCACGGACCCCCGACAAGCTTCTTCACCCCGGTCACAGAGGGCTCCGCCTGGGGCCAGCCCACCAGCCGGACCCTGTCGCCTCTTCCAGACATCCAGGGGAGCGGAGCGTGCTCCCCCAGGACGGAGCACACACACCCCGCAACACACACACTGTCTGTGGGACTGACAGAGGATAAAAGGCTTCTGTAGAGGGGAACATGGAAGGAGATTAAAGTGATATTTCGTTGCTTTTCCTTTGATGGTGACAAAACTGAAGTGTTTGAAAGATTCATGTGAGCAAATTAGGACAATCATGTTTCTTTTGAGTGGATTCGTGGCTGCAGACATGAAAAGATCACATGACCTTAAAAAAAAAAAAAAAACGTCATATTTATTTATTTTTCGGGCTATAAAAATGCAGCTAGGCGGTCCAACAGCATGGCTGATTAGCCCCTAATAGATGTTTCATGGCCTGAGGTCTAAGCTGCTTAATAAATATGTCCACATAAGTTTATTTCCTGCTAATGGCTCAGTCAGCATGGCATCCATTACCGACTGTGATCCAATTTAGAGCCAAACCAGAGTTGAGGAATTTCTCGGCTGCCAATTTCCCGATGAAATCGATCCATGACCAGTCTGCAGCGCCCAGACGGGCTGTGGCTGGTGGAGATGAAGTGTCCGCCTCAGGGTGGAAGATTTTTAAATGTTTGGTCTCACAGGAGCAACGCTGTGAGTTAGCAAAAGATGGTTTTGTGAGCTGCAAAAAATAATTAATTTTAATTGCCGATGCTTGAAACAACACGAAGAAGACTGGAGATGGAAAAGTTTGAAATTCTTCCAGTGGGTTCTGAAAACCCAACATCAATTTACAGAAAATAATAAATGAAATTTTTCAAGGTCGTTATCCTCCAAAACGGTGAACCTCCGTAAGTGTGTTAGTAAGTTTTCTTTCGGGACTGTTCTGTATTTATCTTCACCCATCCTTCCATTACCTCTGTTCTCCTCGTCTCTGCAAAGGAAAATAAGCATCCCCACATCATCATGCTGCCTCTACCATGTTTTTCAGTGGATTTGGTGTCTTCAGGGTAAAATTTCCTCCAAACTTTCTTTGCATCCGGAATATTCAGTATGGTCTTGTCTGACCAGAGAATCTTCTTCCACTTGTGGCAAAAACCTAAACAGGACATCCAATGATATTTTTCTTGCCGTTGAGGGTTCACATTGTTATCAAGCCTGCTGGACAAGGACCGAAGGCTCACCTCCTTTCTGACCCAAAAAACCCCTTTGTGCAGCTAATAATCTGCATGAAAGCCCTCAGATATTCTGCAGTGGACATTCTGAAGAGCGAAGTTGACCCTCCATCTGAAGGATCAGCAGCAGAGAAAGGGCTCCAGCTTTTCTAAGTTTCATTTTACTGCTGCTTCTCCACACCTAAAGGAAAAAAAAAATCTGAAATTAAATGTGTGTGTATATTTTATCATGTCTGCTATCGTCTGGTGAAAATTGCAGGTAGCTGAGTGTTTAACATTCTCTTGTCAAGCGTCCTCCTGCTGGGACAATAAATGCCTGTCCAGTTTTGCTCACAGCGGCGGCTGCAGATTACAAACAGCAGGAGCACACTGGAGTCTGAACACAAAACCGATAAGGACGCCCGTCTCTGTGCTGCTGTTGCTTTGGCTGGCTTCTCCCCTGCTCCAGCAACCCGCTGCTTTCTAATATTTACACACAACTCGAAAGGCAAATGTAGCGTAACTTCAGCCACACACTGCACCCACACCTGGAACCTGTGTGCACATTTCTCTGTGTTGCTTTGACAAAGAAATAGAAGGAAAATGAGAACTAAAATTATAGTGCAAACAGTGAAATTTCATTACATCTTTTTATCCAGGAGTTTGCAGGTAAGGAGGTGTGGATGATTGCAACTGTTGGAAAGTTTTTTTTTTTGTTGTTTTTTTTTGAGGGCTGGAAGGTGGCTGGAATAAAATGTGTGTGTGCGTGTGTGTTACCTGGCTGAGGAAGGAGCGGGAGGAGGGTGAAATGCAGATTTATTGTTGAAGCTGTGACAATTGGAGAGCCGGAGAATGCAGCAATACGACGCAGGAGGCCACTGACACAGCACATTATTCACATGTGCAAGACAAAGAGCCGCGTACGATTTACATTAAAGCTCAATGAAAAGAAAAATTACTTCTCTGGAACTTTTTACATCACATTCTGAGTCTTAACAGGCACCAGAATGTCAAAAATATATGTTGGCTCAGCTCCTCTCAGTAAGTTTAATATCTTGAAATACGACATGATTTACCGATTTAGTGTGTCAGTTTGGTTTCTCACCATCTGCTGCTTTATAACAGCCTTCAGCTCAATTCTTAAACCTGTTTTTGACTATTTCATGGCAACAACAACCATAGGAAGAGTAAAATTTAACTTGTTTTCTGATGTGTTTGCAACCTATTTCATCAGCACTCAAATCCACTGTGTTCTCTGTCCAGTTCTGTTGTCGTCCCATCACAGCATTTCAATCTGAAAAGCACCTGGACTTTGAGTAGGCCTTTACAAAAACCCTGATTGTTACTGTGTTGTAGATTTGCAGCAGTGTTGCAAACCATTTCCATAATAACGAATGGGATATAAAATGTGCATAAAATCTTAATCCACTGAGTGAAAGGCAGACACGCTGATGATCAGCTGATCAATGCATTTGATTAGCAACTCGGGTTGATTTAAAACCAGGAGGTATTCATGAGATTACACCAAACTGTTTGCCTCGAACATTCCAACAGTCCTTTGTCTTTAAGTTTTGGACCCCCACCACCACAGAAAACACTGACAATTGTCACAAACACAGAAACCCGGCGTTTGAGGAAACTGCTATTGAGTTCTGGCCTGGGGAGGGTCGGCTCCCATATCATGAGAGCAGCGGTTAGTCGACTGCTGCGAGGCTCGCCCATCGCATGCCGACCGCAGAGGACGCTCAGGTAAGGCCCCCACAACGAATTAGCCGGGCCCTTCTTCCTCTTTTCCATCCCTGCCCCCCCTCGCCGCCCTGCAACATCAATTTACTGTCATTATGTACTGCTGCCCCCTGCTGTGGGCCCACGGCTGTGACGCCCCTGAGGTCAAAGTGTGGGAGGGGGCTGAAGAGGCTCTTTACTCCTGAGGAGGCTGGAACAATCAATAGCTAGCCACCAGCCGCCGCAGGGGCCCCCCCGAGGGCCCTCACGCCACCAACATTAGTGGAGATGTCTTCCTCCGTAGGGAGGAAGCCTGTTGGGAGTTAATGAGAGAGGTGGGGGCCTGAGGACAGGAGGCAGATGAGGGGGAAACGGACAGCTTGTCAGCAACATCTTGAGTGTGAAGTGTTAACGTGAGCGCTCGCTGTGATGGAGAACAGAACTCTGATCGTCTGACTTGAGTTTCTGACATCTTCTGCGGAAATCTAAGACGCACAAACAAGGAGATTTAAGGCTCCTGCATCATCCCGTCTCCGAGGTAACGGCTTCATTAGAGCTGCGCTGCAGGTTGTGGCTGGTGAATGACTTTATAAAGCACTGATCTGGGAGCTGGACTGTAACATTTAAATCAAGAATATATATTTTCATCATTAATTAAAAACAATCCATCTAATCTTTCTGGGAATTAGTGGGCATGTATGCAGCTGTAATAAGATCAACTTCAGATTTTGGGATAAACTTCAGAAAAATGTCCATCAGCCGAGTTATTTTATCAAGTCCTGATGAGGCTGACCAAGTCTTTGCATGGGCCATCCAGCATTTCATCTAATAATCCAATAAACAGGAAGAGTGTCCCGCATTTTATCTCTAATTTTTAATCAGCACCTCTGCAGGACATAACACCCTCCAAGGATTTGGGTGTCAAACAGGGCTCTTACCGCCAGGCTGTTTAATGTGCACGACTACAGTTAATGAGCTAAACAGAGCGCAATATAAAAGCTTTCAATGTGCAGAAAATCAGTGAAATATCACAGAAATTCCAACAAAACGAGTTATGCTGCTTATAAAGACAAATTCCGTCAGAAATTGAAAAATAACTGATAAATTAGTGTAGCAGTGGTTGAAATTACAAAAATATTAGTTTAAGTTCCTCTTTATTTCAACAACTCTGGCGTCACTCAGGCACAGGCAAACATTTTTCAGAGTATTACTACATATAAAAAAAAACAGTTCAATGTTTAAGAAGCAGCAGAAACAGAAAGAAAAAGGAGGAGGAGGAGTGTAGAAACACATGAACATTCAGGAGTCGACTTTCTTTCTTCCTCTGGTCTGCCGGGCAAGTCCAGGCGACGTCTGGGTTGCCATGTCCACCAGTTTGGATTTCTTGTCACCCTTTCGAGCTCTGGGAGCAGCTTTGGAGCTTTCCTTCTTTCCATTGACCTCTGCAAGAGGAAAATCAGCTCCATAACTCACTGAACAGGACTGACTCAACCTGCAGTAAAAAGCCACGAACAATACATGTAGCAGATAAATAGCAATACATATCACGATAAATACGTGAGCAATATCAACAGATAATATGTCTGAACTCCAAACCAGAATCCAACAGAATTCTGGGAGATGTAGGCAGAGGAAAGGCTTTCGCTGCACAAAACGTTAAGCAAGGTTGGTGGCATCAACAAGCTCACTCACTCTTCGGTTACCTAGCAACAACCTGTTGAGCAACGTGCACAGCAGCAGTTTCATGTTTTTGCCACTGTGCTTCATAACTTCATAATAAAAACAATGAAATGTTAAACAAGAGAATGAGTAAAACAACTTCAGAGGAAATTGTGGTTGAAACAGAAAAAGTCATGTCATCAGTTTGGTTGTATTTCAGACATTTAAAACAAAAACTAGTCAATAATTATCGATGTCGACCGATATGACAACCTTATACCGTGATATATCAGCCAGCCCTACATGTACGTTGTTGGAATCTCACCTTTTTCCTTTGAGGGCTTCCTTTTCTTGACAGAACTTCCTTCAGCATCGTTCTCCCCCGTTTTGTCCGCCGCTTTCTTCCTCTTGGTCACCTTTTAAAGTCAGAAATTAAAATAAGAAAATGTGATCTGTTCTTTAGCTTATTCTTTTACTTTATTGTGTAAAAATTGTCATTGTTGAAGAAAAATGTTAATCAGTATATCTTCTCCTGTGTAACTGCACTGCTACAAATCTGTGCTTCTTTTTTCTGGCCATTAAAATACCAGAAACATCTCCAGTTCAAGTCTCACAGTTCAGAGGGGAACATAAATGTGACAGGAATCATGACCCAGGCTGAGAGCTGCATCTCCAGTTGAGGGCTGAAAGAAGAACCGCTGATAGTCTCAGTCAGAGACTGACGTCTATGAAAGATGACTTTCTCCCGCCACCCGTTTCTCTCCATCACTCCTCCTCCCCTTTATCTACTGCTGCATTTGGATGCCTAATGATGGCCACGTGGCGCCCGCTGAGGAGAACAGATTGGCAGGATAATTACATACAATAACCAGCGCAGAGACCCGGCAACCTTTTGGCTGGAAACACTGGTCCCTGGTGGTATCTTCCATATACACAAAGAGCAAACGTGGCAAAGAAACAAAGAGCGCAGAACAATGGCAGAGGCATAAAAAAAAAGGTGAAAAAAAAGAAACTGGATCAGGATGAGTTTTATGTGACTCCAAGGAACTGATTTAAAATGCAAACGGCTATCCAACTGATCATGAACCGATTTCTGAAAGTCTCAGAATGTGTGTATGCGTATGTGTGTGTGTGTGTGTGTGTGCTGACCTTGGCAGGAGGTGTTGTCACTCTGCTGACATGTGTGAACTCCAGCTGGCCGTCATCTTTCGCCTGGATGCTCTTCAGCCCGTTCTGCAGGATGGACCGCAGCTTCTTGTACGGAGGCGTGTCTTTGTAGTCTAGAGACTTCACTTCCTCCATGAACTTCTGGAGCTCATCTAGAACATGAGCACACCTGCATCAGCTTCAATTATACAGCCATATAAACGGGTTGAGGTCTATCATGCTCAGAGGAATGTTGTTTTATTATGATGGCTGAAGTTCAGGGAAGCAGAAGAAAGAAGAAGATCAAATGTCTCTGCCTTAAAGAGGAGGAGAAAGCCAAAACTGTTGTTGCATTTTAGCGCCTGGTTGGAATAAAGAGAGCCAACCTTCAGTTTTCTTCTCACCTGGTTTTTCTTGAGGGGGAAAACACTTGGACAGAAAATCAGAGATGTCTTCCTGACTCCTAGGAGGGGAAAACATTTAAAGCATTTTTAGGATATTCGGAGAAAGCCAAGCGATCCCAGCTGCAGTCCGGATTTTGTCCCAAGTCCCACCTGATCTTGGAGTCTCTGACGTAAAGCGGGTCCTGCAGCCGGTCCTCCCAGGGGAGCCGACCACAGAGCCACTGGACCATGCAGAAACCGAGGATCTGCAGGTCGCTGCGCCTGGAGGGAGCTGCAGCCCACAAAAAACAAAAAAACAAAAAAAAACAGAGCAAGTTCAATCACACCAAGAACAGCTGAAATACGATAAGTCCAGCCTGATATAATAAGACACTGTTTAAATTCACTTATTCACTTTGTTTTCCCATCAAGAGATCAATATTAATCTAATCCCAGAGAATCTTCCTAGTTTAACACACACAGGCTTGGACATATCACCCCCTCACTCACCACATCACTGATCTATAAAAGTAATAACACTGCGCACTGTGTTTTTTATTTTATTAACACTACTGAGCATACAACACCGTTCAGATTGCTTACCAAGATTGGCCGAGATTAACAGGGAAATAATTTCATTTTATCGGGTGAAAGAAAAGGCTAATTTAAAAACATTGGATCAACCAGATTGTGTCATTTGGACCTACATGCTCCTTTGTGGGCGTCGATGCTGGTGAACTCGATGGTTCCGTCGTGACATTTCTTCGGGTCTTCTTTGTACTCCTTGAGGACGCCGTCAGGTGCGTACCTGTAAGCCAGCCCGTAGTCGACCAGGTAAACCTGCAAGACGGCGCATACGTTCATTTACACACCTCATAAGCTCGGGGGTGCAGTCAGACGTTAAGAAGAAGCTGAAGATGACTTAGTGTGTTGCATGATGGGACAGTGCTGCACAGTTTCCTCTGCACAGGTTGGACAAAAGAGTCAATTTACAATGGAAGAAACAGAGACAGGAACATTTTTGCTTATTTCCACAAATCCCGTCTCTAACATGCAGCTGCTAAAATTAATCCTAACATTGAGGTCAAGGGTTTCCTCTTTGTTAGGTACACCTGTTAGATTGCTCACTAAGACAAATGGCAAATAAGCAGAAAGAAGAGATGACTCCATCTTCTTCAGAGGTTAACATAAATATCAGCAGGTATCAGAAACTTCGAGTCTGTTTAGGTTTTAATAAAGAAGCTGTGTGAAAACCCTGCAGCTCAGACAAAGGAGCTTTAAGAGCATTAAAAAAAATCTAAAAACAGCCACTCTACATGATGTTGAAATCCCACAGGGCTGATTTTTAAATTGTCATTTATAAATAGCTCTTTAATAACAACACCACTGATACATTATTAATCTCCAAATTAAATATTTGCCCCCACCCCCACCTTGTTTGCTGGAAAAATCTCAAAGCTGCTTCCTTTTAATCTCACACACACACATGCTCTGCAGGCTTTAATTGAGTCTAATGAAGCCGTTTGAGTGTATAACAATAAAAAAAGAAAACAACACACACATAAACACAATCATCTCTGCGGTCACAGAAAACACTGATTCTCAACAACAAAGAACATTTCTGATCTTGAACCCGCAGCGTGCTGGTTTCACTGGTACTGACCTGGTTGGGATCTTTGTGGCTCAGAAGCAGGTTTGATGCTTTGATGTCGGCGTGCACGTACTCGTGCTCGTGGATGAACTCCAGAGTGTCCAGCTGCACAGAGAAACAGGGAGGATGAGGAGATGATGAGAGCTGCATGAACCTGGATTTTAGTGTGTTGAACTAGAATTTCCTTCACAAGCTGACATTCACTACAGTGGTGAATAACAGGCTGACTCGGTCCACCACAGAGACTTTTACATTTTAAATTCCTCCTTGGGTGCTGGTTGGCTAGGTCTCCAAGCTACAGTTCTAAGAGTTTTCCTTCTTACACGTTCAGCATGTTAATCTTCCCTTTTTGATCTGAATTTCAAGCTGTATATTTTGCTGTCAGTGTTTTCTGTGTTCTCCATGTTGCTAGCAATGATCCCTAATTTTGACGTTCCAGTCATAACGTTTGACAGCTGCTTTGCTGTTATTTTTTAATATCCTTTTTATAAATTTCAAATTTATAAAAAAAATAATTTAAATTCATAATTTATAAAAAAAAATATATATATTAAAACTATAAAAACGTAAAACTTTTACAAATTTCAAATTTATAAAAACTGCGTAGTTTCTCGGAAATACCTCAGATGTTTGGCATTTATTCAGATTTCTGTAGAAGCTGCAAAAGGAAAATGAACAAACTGGAATGACTGGTGACCCACCAGGCGAAGACCGAGCTGCAGGACCAGTTTTCTAGGGAATTTCTTTCCACATTCCTCAAACTTCTTCTGCAGGTCAGTCCCGAGCCTGTCGATCACCATGAAGCGGTACCTGAAAAGAAAACAGATGCACGGATGAAACACCCAACAGAAACATAATTCTTCCTTTTGCAACAAGTAGACTGATGCATGAAATGTTGAAATGTGATCCAATCACATTTCAACATAAGCTTATCAGATAAGCAGTATCCGCTTATCTGTTGTGATCTGCTTCATTTTAATACATATACATAAACCTTTGGCTAAGTTTAGTTGCATTGAATGTGCTTCCTCAGCAAACACAACAGAAGTTAAATCCTTATTTTATAAAGAAGCATTTGAGATTCAAGCCCAAAAAGTAACCTAAGAGGATTACAGTCATATTATAAAACATAAAAATGATCCTCAGCTCACCTTTTGTCCCCTTTGCTATGCAGACCTGAGCCCCAGTACCTGGGAACTCCCAGATGCTTCAGCTTCTGATCCTTCAACCAGTTCTGAACTGCACAACAAGAGGAAACAATTAAATTAGAGATGGTCTGGTTGCTCGAACTTCCAAAGAAAACTACGATGTACTAGAGTAGGAATGCCATGAGATTACAGTTCTGTGTGTTGTAAGGTGTGTGTGTGTGTGTGTGTGTGTGTGTGTGTGTGTGTGTGTGTGTGTGTGTGTGTGTGAGTGGGTGTGTGTGTGTGTGTGTGTGTGTGAGTGAAGGGTGTTTGTCCAGCGTGGCTGGGAGCTAATCTGCTGCTGGGACAAATATTTACCAACAACGTGAGAGTCCCACATGAATAAAAGATGAGCCTTTGCTTCCTTAGTAATATAGCAGTTAATTGTCAGGGGAGATTGACATTTGGATTGTTATTATATAAAATGCAGAGCGGTGGCCCGGGGGCCAGGAGAGCTCCGCCCTCCCCTCCCTCAGAGGAACCCTCTGCAGCAACACACTGGTTTTAATTAAGAAAGTTGCCTTTGTTTTATTTGCTTGGCCTGCTGCAGACATGCTCGGTGTTCTGATCACAGGGCTGGGAGCTGATGGATGATGATGATAATGATGATGGTGATGATGATGATGGGACTCACTGAGATCCGGCTTGGCAGCTCTCATGTAAAAATGCAGCTCAGAGAAGAGAGGTCCGTTTTCACTCGGCTCCTGCGGACACAACCACCACCGCCGGAGTAAGTCCACATATTTATCCAGTAAAGAAAAAGAAAAAAAAAAGGAGGATGTCCTAATTCATTAAATTTTTAGTGACGAGAAAAATCAACTTAAGCCACAGGGATACACTTCTGTATGAGCTGAATGGACCCACAGTTTGTATCGGAGGGGACGGATTCCTTAAATGTACTCATCTTATATCCAACTGGCTGCAGGATTCAGTTCATACATTTGGAAGTAATGAAACTGCCAAATATTAATCTGTGTTTTATGGATGGAGAATTAAACAATGGAGGAAAGTCTGGAAAACACTCAAATGAAATTCCATACTTTTCCAGATTACAGAACTAAATTTCCCCTTTTAGTTCAGCTCTCTCTAAAGAGTACAAATCATGACAGATGCTGCTCCCACTTCCTCTACTTATCAACAAAACCATAAGATACTAGAACTTCTAAACTTGGAGCAGTACTTCATCCTCACCCTGGCATTTAACTCTTGGCTTTGGGCTCTGAGCTGCTAATCTCTACGCAAGCTGCTTTTCACTTGCAGCAAATTCCTCTAGTTCTGTCTGAAGGTTCTGGAGTGTTTGAAATGAAGACAATATGGAAGAAATTGCACCTTCCATCTGTGACAAAGTCCAACCACAAGGAAAGTCAAACACACATCGTTTTATTTTTGACCAGCAACCAAACTTAACTGCTTATGTAGCAACCAAATGCCATATGGTAAGGGATCTAAAGCCCACACGCGAGGATGATGGTTCTGAGGTTTTTTCATAATAAACTACAAATGACTAATGGTTGGGCTAACATTCAGGCATCCACATGCATTGTCAATATGAAAAGTACACAATTTCCCCTGATTTTGAAGTTGAGCTATCAGTCCAACCTTCCTCTATTGGTTTATTTTATTTTATTCTTTACGTGGATAAAATTTTACTGGCAGGTTCAGAAATACCCTAAGGTATTTTTGTCAATACTGATGTTTTTTGTCTGAAATGATGACAATACAGCGAGAAAGGCGCTGAGTTGGCAACAGTGGGTCACTATTGTTAACCGTAAATGTGCAGACATCACTTGGTGGGCAGGTCTGTCTGTCAAACGTCTCTCACAGCAGAGCACTAGAGGACAGTGGTTGATTTTTAGACCTTTGTCGAGTTAAATAAGATCGATGGATAAGATCAACTTCACATGTATCGGCTCATCACCGATATCCCAAAACTAAGGAAATCAGGGCCGATTTTATCATGCACCTCCAATAGATTTCACTCTGCTGCAGTTAATGAGGCAGACACTCTGGTTTTACCACAAATCACTTCTGCTGAAGTGACAATGTTTTTTCTGGTCTCCCTCCAGATAACAGATATACTTCTCCTCATTCAAGATTTTTCCAAACAGAAAACAAAGCAACCCAATTATGTCTCAGTTGTTTGTTTTTTTTTACTGTTTCAGAGGAAGTACCTCAGAAGGTGTTCAAGTCATAAAAAAAGGTTGGGGACGTCTGAACAATGCAACCGCAATCTGTCTCACCACTTTGATGACATAGGGAGCATCTGGTCCAACGGGTTTGTCAGAGTTTTGATCAGCTGGTGAAAAACAGAGTGAATGTCAGGAGTTGGTAATACTCGTATAAAAAAAAACATACCTTTTATACAATCCTATTTACATGTTTAAAATCAAACAAGCTCAGATAAAAAGCAAGTAGATGCTGGGGGGTTCTTACCCAGGTATAAGAGACCAAAGCCCCCCTTGCCGATTGGAGCTCCCAGCTTCCAGGACTTCTTTCCAGTATCTGTCAGGACTTCTCCAGGTGGGAACTCCTCTGCCAGCTTCCTCTTAGCAGGAGCTCTTCCTTTCCCCACTGCCTTGGCTTTAGGAGGCATCGGAAACGGACGGTCAGAGCTGTAAGAGATAATTCCAGATTTAAAGAATGAAGTTCCAATAGCTGGGCTCACAGACTGCAGCTTGCTACTAGATAGTTTTTCTTTTAAAAAACTGATATAAGGAAGCTCTGTGTGCTCCGATTGGCCAGCTCTGCCCAGAAACTGAAACTTAATAGCTTTATTGATGGATAAACTGGTACATGTCCATGAAAATACTTTCAAAAATGATACACAAGGTATCAGAAATTGTGACATTTATATTCTAATACAAATGACTAATGGTTGGGCTAACATTAGTTAGCCCAACTAAGTAATGTTAGTTGTTAGACGTTATTTGAATCACGTCTTGATTCAAATAACAGAACCGTCAAGTTGCTGTTAGGGTTCACTCAATAAAAGAAAAAAAAAAAACAAAAAAAACATTGAAACATCATTAATAATAAAAGTTAAAAAATATTTAAGTCATCCTTCAAAGTGAGTGAAAAATGTTAAAAAAAGTATTAGTGTTGCATAAAAAAAAACAAAAAAAAAAAAAACTAATAAATTTGTAACGTTAGGGTTTTTGCTTGAATGGATAGTGGGGAGAGCAATATAATTTAATTTGTGAAGGTGAAGCTGTGAATTTAAACAAAAATCCTAAATAAAGCAAATGGAGGACGGCAGATTAATTGGATGTTTATGGAGCTCTGGTTGTGGAAAACCGGAGAAGAACTGGAGCAAATTCCCGGTTTTAGCACCGACTTTGGTGCAAAATCACGAAAAGAAAAAACCGCCCTAAGCTTGACAGGTATATCACTAATGCAATGACTGGATGTCATCTTAACAATGCCATTCACAAATTTTCAACCATGATGAATCTGCAGAACTGAGAGGAACATTGGAAGGAAGACGAGGCAGTACGCAGTATCTCTGCGACCAAACAACTTTATGTTCAGTCACACGGTCGAACTGGGAGTCAGGCATTCTGGCTGATGGCTCTAAACGGAAGATCTGGGTGAAGTCGCGGCTGATGAGTCGTTACAATGGAGTACAAACCAAACCACGTCCACTCGGTGCACAGATATCCACACTGGGGAACAAGTGATGCTCAAACCCGGATATAAAAAGTGATGTCATCACGTAAACTAAGACAGTTCCGAGAACTTTAGGAGTCGAACGCCGAACCTGAAACGCACTAAAGGATGTTATTTCTCTACCATGCCATCAGTTTCTGTTTATAGTGTAAATGAACCTCTGTGTAACCAGATCAATGGCTTTAATGCTACCTGTGAGCCGCAGTGAAAACAAATAAAACCGAAACACACACCGGTTAGCATCGTGCTAACTGCGCAGACTCACTACATCTGATCCGTTTAAAAATAATAAATCTTATGTATACGTCACCCATTGACGAGGATTAAAATAACAATACACACCCTGGATGTGTTCTTTATAGATGATTGTTGGCTAAAATTGTTCGAAGACAGACAAGCAGCAAAACTACCGCTCAGGAAGCGGTGTCACGGCGCTTACGCTTTCTATTGGTCCAACACTACGCGTAACGGGCAGAACGTAAAGGTGCATTCAGGAAACAAAAGCACCTCGGAAAATCTGTATTCAGACTCAAAAGATACACCTCAGTCATCAGAAAGAACCGAAGACGCATTTTATTTAAGAGTTTTAATTAATATAGACGTAATTTATATAAATGATTCACCGAATAAAGCCTACAACAACTAATGCACATTTTACTAATTTTCCGCAATACCTACTAAAACATTAAGGTTATTTTTCTTTAAAATTTCCCGTTTCTTGAAGTTACTGAACTATAATTCTGCCTGGCATGTCCTACACCAAAACCACTTTCTTATGCACCAGTACTACCGACGAAGAACGACTCCATGTGGTAAATTAATTGATAGGATGCTTAGATACAATTTGTATAAAACTTAGAAAACATAGCTGCACTCTTCAACCTAAAATGACAAATTGCCAACCAAGAAAACAACAACAAAATAAACCGATTTATAAATTGATTTGAAGGTTCGTAAAGTTAAACTAAAATGTCGAAATATACAATTTATTTTTACTTTTTAAATAAGTTGGAATTTGTAAATTAGTGCATGCCTTCACAGAAAGTGTTTATGAATAGTAAAGGGGCCAGTATTGCAGCCGAATGGCCTACTTTTTCGTCAACTAGTCAGCCATTAGTTATAATCCTCTGTAAGTATTCAAAAGTCAAACGTGAATCCATTTAGCTGACGGCTTAAGCTTAGTTGAAAACGTGTTATTTTACGGGACAGTCAAACATTTTAGATGAAGTTCATTTTAAAATAAAATAACAAAGACTAACATGTTTTGTGGATTTACTTCATTTGAAAGATCACGTGATTCTGATGCCTTGGGCCTCTTTCTGAAATTACCATATTTTTTTCAAATTCCTTTCCCTGTTCAAATTAACCTCTTTAGTTCATGTTTCCCTTAATATTTGGTGCCGTCTAAAATAAATAATAGAACACAAGGATACTACTGAAGCAGTAAAAGATGAAAAATGGCTACCATTATGGCATGCAAGTCTGAGATCAGAGGAGTTTTTGTTCAGTGTTGTTCTTTGTGCAAAATCAAAAGACATCAGTATGTGTGATGCTTTTCTCATAATGAAATGGAGAAAAAGAAAATCCTTCACCTTTGCAGCCCATCTCCCGAATGTTGCTGTGAATGCTTCATTTAAATAGCAATGTAAATGTTGCAAGTCTTGTGTGTTTTGAATGTGTCATTTGATACAAACATATTGAGTATCACCTGCAACCTGGAGCACAACTCATGAATAAGATATTGGTTCTTCAGTGCATTGTTTCCAGGTGCCATCTAGCAGGGCGAGCAGCTGGAAGTGGGCCCCTGTTTGTTCCCCTTCCTCTTTTAAATCAGGAAAACTTCACTTTCCTTTCCCATGTCTTCGTCTCGTACATTGACTGAGCTAAACTGACTACACGTTTTTCTTTTTTTTTTTTTTACCCATCTTGCTGTGATGACGCGCTGCAGTGATAGTGGTGAGGACAGCACAGAGAATCCAGACAGAAACCAGAAGAAGAGAAAGAAAAGGGGGAAACATGTGTCGTTCCCTCCTGATGAACAGATAGTGTCCGGCTTTGCAGAGGATGCAGGCAGAAGAGGTGAGCTGCTGTTTGACTGCACATTTAGTTGAAGTACAGTTGCAGGAGGACTGAACAGATGATTACTGTGTACTTTGTTGCAATTAAAGGACACTCAGTTTACTAAAAAGGTAGCCATGAAGTGTGGCAATCGTTCTGTGAAGATCCCTGGTCAAAGAGGGAGAAGTAGCCATGAGATAAGACAAACAGTACTGATCAGCTGTGATCTGTCTGCATATGTGAATTTCTTTGAAAGACCAAATTTGAATTTGCAAGATGAAGCCATGATTTGATCTAGTAGGAAATATGCACACATTGGTTTTTATAACAGTGACATGTGAAGCAATTTAAGTGGAAGAACGTAATTTACCAAAAAAAAAAAAAACAAGGCCCAAGCATTTAGATCTGTGGAACCCCAGTGGAGAGTGAAAACATTGAGGTTTTCACTTAAGTTGAACTTTGTACCAGTATTTTACCTATAAATGTTTCTTTTCAGCTTATTTGAGTTATTTTAGATGACTTTAGAAATATAAAAAAAGTACTGTTTTATTGTTTTAGATGATAGCTGTATCACCCTAATGGATGTAATTGGAGCTTATCAGCAGAGCTGCAGTAAACACCAGGTCCAACCCAGAGAGACCATCCTCCAGCAACTCCAGGTGTGTTGCATAATGTCTTTTGTGTAAATGTTTGCATTAGTGAAACTGTGAGCATTCAAAATGAGCCCCAATGTAAAGCCCATGCAACAAAAGCTAATTCCATCCTCAGTGTTTAAATAAGATTTAAAAGGGAGAGTACCAACCAGACACTGCCAATCAAATGCATTGATTCACTCATCCCCATCATAGTGAGCATCCCTATCAAAAAATTAGTTTTGTCAATTTGCTGAATGGAACATACAGATTTATACAATACCCAGGTCGACAGACATTCTTTTAAGATAAAACTGTTTTTAAGACAAAAGTAACCAAGGAAGAAAAACCTGGTCACTGTCTTGTAAATGTGTAAAAGCTCCAGAAGCTCATATGTGTCTTCCACAACATGGTCTTATTGACATTTGATAATATTCAATGGCGTGACGGTAGCCATGAAGCTCAACATCCTTCACCATGTGGCGACTTTTGATGCTCATTGTCAGAGACAAAAGCTTCGGAGTGAAATATTGGCTTAACGAAAATGTGCATTTGCTTCCAAGCAGCATCAGCAACTCTGCACATAAAATAACTGCAACATGCAACGGCATTACAGTTCTCCAAAAACAAATCAATATGACCACCATAACCCAGCACAAGTCAAGCCTGTCACAGCCAAATGTAGGCTACAGCTCTGATTAAAACTAAAAGGATTTCAAGACTCACAGAGGTAGAGCAACACTTTACAGGCAAGTCGAGTATGAATATATGTTGTTGCATAATGTAAATGATTTGGTTCTAGCAGCCTGAGTCAGATTAGTGTAAAAACCTTTTCATAATGTGAAAAATCGGTTTCTTGAGACTAAACAATATAAAACCTTATTTTTTTTATTTAAAAAAAATTAATTTAGTAAGTTTACTCCATTTAGATCAGTATGTTTGTGTGTTGAAAAACAAAAAAAAAAGATATTAAAAATATGTATTACAGTCTGTTTTGCTTGTGTTGGTCAGGATTCTGAGAGCAGTGTTTTAGCTGCAGCTATCTAATTGTTTTGTTGTTGTTTGTTTTCTTATGGAAACCAATAGAGGCATCTTTACAATAATATTAAATACAGAAAATCAATGCGTGGAATAGACATTTGGAAAATGTGATGAAGGTTCAGAAATGGCTGCAGAGAGTTTGAATTCCTCCTGGTTTGAACACATTTGGATCTGCTACAGGAAGCTAACGAGTGTTACTCATGTCTGAGTTTATCCAAACTGTTGACCTTAGATAAGCCGGAGACGATGGATGTGTAGAGTCCTTTTAAGATCACGGTTGTTTCATGAAAAAGTGGAGTGATTAGGTTCCTGGGCAAAAATAACATTTCTAAAGGAGTTTTTAAAGAAACTTTAAAATGTCCTTTCATTTGACAAACAAGAAGAATTTGCGGTTTCAGTCTTTTTATCATCTCCATCACTTGAAGTTTGTTGATTTATACCAGACGAAGATTTAATTAATCTCAGAATGTGGGATCCCAAATGCCATAGTTTCCAGTTTCCATAGTGTGCAGGAGATTTATTTTTTTTTTTTTGCTTGTGTAAACTTAGTTTCACTCTCTCTCTTTATTCTTTATTCACATACGCAACACTCTCTTTTCCCCTCCAGTTTCTTGAGACATTCTTTGCCATTTATTATTCATTTTATGTACATATTCGCTTTATTCTAACCTACCATGTTAAATCGCTGCTCTCCACCTCTCCAGTGCTGCATAAATTTAGCTGAAGATCAAGGGGAATTATTTGTGAGAAATTAGAGACGTAGCCATGCTAACATTAGGCATACAGAGGCCGAGGTGCTAATGAACCCTGCTGCTCTGAAAACAAATGTAGGTGGTCTTCCTGAAACAGTAAAAATATGTATATGTTTAAACATTCACTTAGAGGGGAGATATTTAGACCTAAAAAAAAAGGCTGCATGTGAATGAATCTGTAATAAGACGATGCAAATCGAAAAGAAGAACGCCTAAAGAGCAAATTTATTAAATTAGGTCTTTTAAGGCGTGCGGCGATCCCCCTGAGGATCAGCGCTGAAGACTATTTAAAGCTTTTTAAGAACCCACGAGGTCCTCTGCACTTCTTTGAAATGCTGTAAGTGGATAAAACAGTGCTGCTGCTGCTGGTGACATCTTTATAAGAGTGGTAAACAATATTAGGTTAGAGCCAGCGGGGGTGGAGGCCGCCCCGCTTTGACTCTGATTTC